CTCGCCTAATCTCCCCTAATCTCGCCCCATCTCGCCTCATCTCGCCCCATCTCGCCTCATCTCACATCTCACCTAACCTCGCCTAACCGCCCCCGCCTCATCTCGCCTCATATCGCCTCATCTCGCCTCACCTCGCCTCGTCTCACCTCATCTCAGCTCATTTTTTCTTTTCTAGGCCACTCCGAGGCCGACCCAAGACTGACCCGAGACCCGAGATCGACCCGAGAGCGACCCGAGATCGACCCGAGATCGACCCGAGATCGACCCGAGATCGACCCGAGATCGGCACGAGCGATCAACCCAACAGCTTCTTGCGACCGAGTCCACTGTGACTTCCAAAAAGAATTTTAGCCACTAATGTAGATTTCTCCACACACACAAAGTGGTGGGGCAAGGGGGGGCGACCCTCGCATCTCCACGCCCGGACACGGGCAGGAGCCCCACGGCATTCAAAGTGCAAGCACCGGCCCGATTCAGCGCACGGGACTGGCGCGCACTGGCACTGACACAGGTACACCTGGGAGGAGCCCGCCTGCACCGTCCGAGTTCTCCATAGCTTCCGATCGTGTGTTTCGGTACTTACTCGAACATGGCCATGGAGAGTTCCCCCGCTCTGCACCGCGACAACGAAACAATCTCGCTCTCCCTCTCTCTGCAGAGACTGCACCGAGAAGGCAGCACGAGCGGCTCGAGGCGCTCCGGAAGCAACGCTTGAGCACTTGAGCAGTTAAGACTTGATAGGGTCGATTCCGCATATGGCCTACGGGACCCCTCGTGCCTCGATCGTCTCGCCCTCCCTCACTGGTATGCTAGCTAGCTGCCTTGGCGGGCTCCAAGCTGCTGCACTTGGGGTGGGACGACGGGGGTAGACCGTGCTGTTGCTGTGAACAGCTGGGGCACGCGCCTTATCTGGCCCGGCTTGGGGACTTGCGGCTCGGGTGCGACCTCTAACCGCGGGTCCGCAGACCGTGCTCTCGGTGTCCGATGACATGGCGCCTCTTCACGATAGGGTGCCCACAGGACCCAAAAAAAGAAAGGAAAAAAGAAATTGGGCACTCCCGATCGCAGCACTTCATGTTGGATAGTCGAGATATTGAGAGTGTGACTAGGAGGGTGGGACGCTGGGGATTCTCAAAGGTATACCCTTGGAATGGCCGGATCCAGTCTTAAAAGTACGAGATCGCGCGCGCTTCGCGCACAGCACCGCCTGTTCTCCGCGGCTGAGTGACGACGCGTGCCGTGTGCCAGTAGAATTGGGCGCGCGCGGCGCGACGGCGCCCGCGAGGGAAGGCGCGGGTGCAGCGGCCGCCGGCGGCCGTGCCGCCCGCCAGCCGGCGCAGCAGCGGCCAGCGCAGCGGCCGCCGGCGCAGCAGCCAGAGCAGCCGGTGCGCGCCTTGCGAGGCGAGTTACTGCCGCCCGGCAGCCTTGAGGCGGCCGGGCGGCAGTACTCGTTCGAACTTTGCGAGCCGTGCGCGCGCCGAGGCGCCCGCGGCGCGCGCCCGCCCGGCTGCCAGTAGGAGGCGGCGCAATATGGCCTATAGTACAGCCCTTAGGAGGAGGAAGAGGCTGGCTGGCAGTGCTGTATGCCGCCGAGGGGGCAGTTTTGGGGTGCTGTCACGGGCCCAGGGGGCTGCAGAAGGCGTCCGCAGCCGGGACAACCCGCCCCCCCAGCCGAGGCCGGTCGAAGCCCACTTGGAAGCAGCCATGAGGAGTCCTCTTGGTGCTCCTGGCGGCCGTTGGAATGGCGAGCGCGCGCCGATGGGGGGGGGGGGGGGTCTTGCTTGCTCCACACCGAGCGCCATCGGTCCGGACCGGTGCTTCCACCGAGGGGTGGCCTGCACAAGGTCTGAGCCGCGGGCGCTCGGCGCCAAGTGCAGGAGGACATCGATAATGCGCGTGCTGTCTCAGTTCGCCTCCGCATCGTACGCCTCCTTCAGCCGCGTGCGCCGGCCGCTGACCGCCGCCGCCTTTGCGACCGTCGGCACCGCCATCGCCGCCAATGGCGGCCTCACTGTGGGCGGTCCCGGCCCGGCCATGTCTGCAGCGGGCGCGGCGCCGTTTGTGCGGGTGGTGTCGTACAACGTGCTCTCGTCGCACCTGTGCGCGCCGGACCACTTCCTACGCTGCGCGCCCGACGCGCTCGACCCGCCGCAGCGGCTCGCGCGCATCAAGACGCTGCTGCGGCCGCACCTCGAGGAGGACGCCGTCATCTGCCTGCAGGAGGTGTCGGCGCCGTGGATCGGCGAGCTGACGCCCTTCTTCGAGGAGGCGGGGTACACCTTCGTCACCGGCTCGTACGGCTCCCCGTTCAACGGCTACATGGGCGCCTCGCCCGCCCGATGGCGCGCCGTGCACGAGCCTTCTGCGAGCCTTCTGGGAGGCGTCCGCTAGGCGTCTCGCTCGCGTGGCCGACGGCGCGCTTCTCGAGCGAGGAGGTGGCGGTGACGCGGGTCGCAGACACAAAGTCGTGGCCGTCGCCGCCGCGGAGCGAGGAGCCTCCGCGCTCCGAAGCTGCGCGTCTCCTCACACCTCGATCTCTCTCCACGATGTGTGGTGGAATAGGAGCCTCCACGCTCCAAGCTGCGAGTCGCGCTCTGTGGCGCGTGGGCGTCGCTCTCCACGCTGTGGCGGGCGCCGCAGAAGCGCCCCTTCGACGTGTGGTCCGAGACGCGGCGGCGACACAACTTTTTGGTCAGCGCAAACTTGCGGTGCAAGAGGAGCGGGCGGCGGGTGTCGGTGCGGACGTGCCGCACGCGCCGCCCTGCGCGAGACGAGGAGGGCTTGGAGCAAGGGGAGGGTGTGAGCAGGTGTCGACGTACCACATGCCGTGCCTCTTCGGCTCAGACGCAAAGGCGCAGGTCTTAGACGCGGGGTACAGACCGCTCCATTCAGGCTGACGCTCAGCTGCATTCAGCTGAATGCAGCCGCATTCAGCTGCATTCAGCCGCATTCAGCTGCATTCACGACACCGTATCGACGCCCCTGACCCTGGAGCATCCCCTTGACTCCACAGGTGCAGGTCATGACCAACCACGCCGCCCTCGCCGCGCAGCAAGCGCTGCGCTTCGCCGGAGAAGGCGCCGCCGTCCCTGGATGCCGCACGTTCCTGCTGCACGCACCTGCTGCACGCACCTGCTGCACGCACCTGCTGCACGCACCAGCTGCACGCACCTGCTGCACGCACCTCACACACGGGCATGGACTCGAGAAGACGCGGACTCGACGGCGTTCGCCAGTGCTCCATGCCGTCAACAACACCTCAGTGACCACTGCACGCCGACGCCTTGTCCACTCGCACTGTGTACTGTCCTCCCTCCTGAGTCACGCCGTGTTTCACACCCGGTGTGTTCACACCCTGTGTGTTCACACCCCGGTGCGACCACACCCTAGGCACGCCTTGCGTCCTCGCGGGCGACTTCAACATCAAGCCCGCCGACGCGCCCTACAAGCTGATCACCACCGGCACACTCCGCCAGAGAGAGAGACACTCCGCGAGAGAGAGAGAGAGAGAGACTCCGTCAGAGAGAGACACATGCACACATGCACACACACATGCACACACACACACACACACACACACACACACACACACACACACACACACACACAGAGAGAGAGAGAGAGAGAGAGAGAGAGAGAGACTCCGTCAGAGAGAGAGAGACTCCGACAGAGAGAGAGAGACTCCGTCAGAGAGAGAGAGACTCCGACAGAGAGAGACACATGCACACATGCACACACACACACACACACACACACACACACACACACACACACACACACACACACACACACACACACACACACACACACACACACAGAGAGAGAGAGAGAGAGAGAGAGAGAGAGAGAGAGAGACTCCGTCAGAGAGAGAGAGAGACTCCGACAGAGAGAGAGACACTCCGCGAGAGAGAGAGAGAGAGAGACTCCGTCAGAGAGAGACACATGCACACATGCACACACACACACACACACACACACACACACACACACACACACACACACACACACACACAGAGAGAGAGAGAGAGAGAGAGAGAGAGAGAGACTCCGTCAGAGAGAGAGAGACTCCGACAGAGAGAGAGACACTCCGACAGAGAGACAGGACCCTGGCACACCAGCCGTGCGTGAGCCTCGTGGGAGCCTCCTTCCTTCCTAGGCACGCTGCCGGAGGAGGACCCGCACATGCCGCCCGCCGCGCCGCACGGCGACGCGTGGCGGCCGACGCTGCCCAAGCCGATGAGGTCCGCAGACACACGCGCTCGAGTCGGTGCGGGTGCGTTGCCTGTTCGGCGGACGTCTCCGCGACTCTTCCCGGGTAGGTCGGCGTACGTGCTCGCGTCCGGTTCCGAGCCCGAGTTCACCAACCTGGCGGTGACCAAGTTCGCCAAGCCGGGCGAGCCGCCCTTCTGCGAGACGCTCGACTACATCTTTGTGTCGGACGGCGACGGCTGGACCGTGCGGGCCGTGCGGCCGCTGCCGAGCAAGGAGGCGGTGCTGGACAAGGGGGGGGTCGAGTCGTACCCGACGCTCGAGGAGCCGTCCGACCACACGATGATCTGGGCCGACCTCGGACTCGCTTGAGGTGTGGTTTCTTAATGCGGTCCCAGTATGCCTCTCTGTAATTTATGCACTCTGTAGATCTCCCCCGGCTCCCACCCTGGCTTGGTTCGTGCGTCTCCAGTGCCGCTACGATCAGACCGATGGCACACGGCATGTACGTTCTCGTCCATATACATTGACGGGAGAGGTCCTAGCTCCTAGGATGAAGCACTACTCTGTTGGCAGTGCACTGCAAATGTGTGTTCGCGCACGGTGTGGGTGAAAGTATGGTCTATGGAGTAAAATCAACAAGATATATCGCACCGACTACACGAACTCGACACACACACTCGCACACACTATAATATAGTGACTCACACTAACTCGTCTAACCAGACTCTAACACACACACACGAGTCGCGTGATCACGGTTCAACAGATCAACACGCTCTTCACGGAGAGGATTATGGAAAGAAGTTGGCAACCTGTCGAGTCTCGACTTGGACTCGACACGCACGAAGTCTCGACACACGACACACACTCCCCACTCGTCCGTATATTATATTGTCCTTTCCCCCATACACTTACACACAAAAGGCGGCAAGCTGCACATAAGCTCGTCCGTCGTCCCCCCCCGACCTCGCGCGGCTCGAGACTTGAGTTGGCCGGGGTGGTGATTTTCTGAGTTGCACCACTCGGCGCTGACGAATTGTATCACCTGGGGGATAACTGACGTATGCTAGCATGATCTGAGCGACTGCGAACGAGTACAATCATCTGGTAGAGGCGGACAGACGCCGATCTATGCGCCGAGCAGGGAAGCGGGCTCGACCAAACGGGGGAGACGCTGCTGGGCTGAGGCGTGTGCGGGGATGGGCGAAGGGCAGAGGAGGTCGCTAGATCTCCTCTCTGAAGGGCGCCCGCCCGCTCAGACGAGCGCTTGCCCGCCGCCGCATCCGCCTTGCCCGCGGCGTCGCGCACGTGCGGCGGCGAGGCTGGCGGCGGCGAGGCCGGCGGCGCCGACGGCGGCAAGCAGCAGTGTGCGCGCTCCGCCGCCGGTGGGGTAGTGGGCCGACGCCGCGCGCGGCTCGTGCAGCAGCGAGTCGGCGAAGCCGATCCCCCACGCCGCGGAGAGGGCGCTCGGGCACATGCCGCACGTGCGAGGGCACCGCTCGCGCGCGA